TGTCCAACCGTCACATTGTGCAATCGTACAGGTTTTCCGTTATCGAGTTCATAATTGTAGGAATATCCATCGTACGTGATACCGGTTATTGCATCACTACCATTTGCATGAAGAGCTCTCAATGTTGCTAACTTCGGCAGCGCAGCTGGTGCATGGTGACCCGAGGATCCGGCTGTGGTATTGGTTGGGATTGTGATTGTGTAATTTCTGATTGGACGCGGGACTGGATTTAAAACTGTAGAGGTTCCGTTTACAGTATAGTTGTATTGATGCATGTTGATAATTATGATGCGCTTGAGGGCACCATTGACATACGCAGCATAAGCCGATTCCAGTGCATTTGAGAGTGGGATTTCGGCTATGGTTGTGGTGGCAGCGGTAAGATTGGATAGGAAGGCAGCAGCGGCAATGTTACCGTAGTATGGTGGCTTGGTACCCTTTGGGACAACATCCGTGTCCTGGGGTTGCCAAGCCTGGTAGCGGAATGAGAGTCCCGTGTGGAAGCTGGATGGAGGGTTAACATGAGATTCGTGAAAATTGATTGCTAGGAAGTACATACTGGATGCGACGAATGCTCTTACTTGCACCGTATAGAGCGAAGTCCAAATTCCACTAGATAGAAGTTAATATGATGGGATGGAAATCGACTACAAACAGGACGTACTAGAGCAGCACCATATGCATTTGACAACCCTGGCGCGCCTTCGTTGTAAAGAGAATTAGTCTCTCCGAGGATGAAGGGTACGTCAGATGAAGCGAGAATATTAGATACGTTCAGCTGTCGGGCCACAGACACTACAGTTGATGTGTGATTCATCAGGGTTCCTTGAAGTGTTACACCTGGTTGCGTCGCACCACCAATATAACTTTGATGGTTCTGTTAGTATTCGAAATGTAATATCGTGAATGGGGCCATACTTGTGTGATGATATCAATTCAATGTCTTTATCCACATCTAATCCATCGTTCCACGTGGTGACAGGATCGAGATGATTTTCAACACCAGCAAAAGAGGGTGCTAAGAATCCATAGGAGGCCAAGTCAGGACAAGCTGCTGCCACGCCTTCCTTGATCTGTCGACTGCCATTCAACCACTGGCTTACGTATGTTGATTCATTCCAGGTAGGAGGTCGAACTGGCCCTTGTGCAGAGGTGGAAAATAAATCTGGTTCATTTCCATATTCCCACATGAGAAGCTTCCCGCCCTCTAAAGCTTTGCATGCCAAGGGGATTGTGTCTAGTAGAGTTTGCCATCCAGCAGAATTATTCGCACCCAGACCCAAATTGAATCCATGACTAAATTTGACATCCGGCCAAGTACTGTAAGACTCAAAAAAGGATGGACCAAAATAAACAGTTGTTGGATAGTCTGTAGCTTTTGCTGGATTGATAGTACCATTCACAGCATATGGAAGACTTGCATTGTAAAGAGCATAATCCTGAGTGTTTCCTCCAACCCGAATATGCGGTTTAGTACCTTGAAAATTTCCAAGATTGTTAAGCAAATTTTCTGAAAAGGTATTGGGACTCGAGTTATTTCCTGAATGTGTGAGCATATGAGCCAAGCAATGTGTCCCTGAGCCTCCAACATACCAGCGTAATCCGGAAAGAAACAAAACTCGATAGAGTAGCTTATGAAGGCCGGAAGTGGGGTACCGGCGTTTGCTGGGGCGGTCCTTGCAACAGTGAAGCTACTTTGAGCATGAATTGCTTGCACAAGGCTTAGAAGGATGACTCCAGTGATGCGGGCCATTTTGTAAGTACTAAGGATCTAGTGATGTTCTATCTCCGAAACATCAAGTGGTAAAAGAGAACAACTAATAGTATATTCGATGAAGAGAGGAATGACAAGAGCGAACGTCAACGAAGTTTAAGTAATCAATTCACAGTCTGTACATTGCAGATCTCTGGTTCTTTCCCAATATCTCATTGCTACGGATAGCAAGTGCATATCCTACGTTGTACTCGCAGTATATCATACCGGAAACCGAAGTACCTTTGACGAACAAAGCTGGATAAATTGTTACTTGCATATCAATTGAATTGAGTTTGACGTTGACGTTATTCGTCTTGATTGCCCAAGAATTGCCGACGCGGGGAAGTCGGGGAACGAGTATACGCAAACAAGGTCTAGGGGTGCTGGCTGACGTGCTATATACATAGCATGATGCATACTACGTATATACATAATAGGGGCACCGAGGTAGTATTCTCGGCGTAGAGTCCATGTCATTCATAGTTACCTTCTCCCTCTCTTTCCACCAATCCTAATGAATAACAAGTAACATGGGAATCGTAGACCTACAATTAGCAGTTGGATGGATGCAGTGATATATCTAGCCCTAGCCCTCCTTTAGATCTTGAGAGAACACTGATATCTCTTCAGACGATATCCGATTATATCTTTGTATGTATCGTTATATAATTCAGAATATAATCATATACGTACTGGGTGATATAAGGATGATATAATTATGTAAAAATGTATTCTGCCCTTTCCATACCTTTGTCTCTCGCCTGTCTTGACTTGTTTTGATGACTGTGTACAACTTTCCCAATGACAAATATTGAATGTGCTATCACCTGAATTAGGTTTAGTAACAGCCCCGCGGCGAAGCTTATCAAAGTTTCACTCATCTCACGATAAATCCGATAAACGAACGCCCTATCGTGAGCTCCATGATTCCATTAAGCTCTCCGTAACTCCAGTTACTCAAATTGTTTCAATTCCGGTGCATTTTCAATCGGGTCTAATAAAGATCTTCTTTCTATTCCCCTAAACCAATATTTGTCTCTCCCACGCCTCAATTGTCAGCAACAGCCAACTGTTATTCCATGGTGACGTTAGTGCTCGAATCTGGAATTGTTAGAATAAAAGCCCCCAGCTTGGCACCCCCTCTCTCAACATGAACAACATAATAAGATCAACAGCAAGAATACTACCACGTTCACGTTTTCAACCGTCTACTTTACCAATAATAAACTTACGAAAGGCTTCCAATATGTCGCACACAGTCCCAAAACTCAATGATCCATCGCTCTTCAAAACCGGAGTTGCGTACGTCAATGGAGAATGGGTCAAGGCAGCTTCCGGAAAGACATTCGACGTTCATGGTATGTTTTGCAGATACATTAAGAGTCCATGCTGAGCAAAGATGCTAATCTATTCACTCTGCAGATCCATCGACTGGAAAATTGATCGGAAATGCCCCAGAGTTTGATGTAGCTGATACGAAGAAGGCAATCGATGCCGCGGCCGCAGCATTCCCTTCATTTAAGACTACAACCGGAAGAGAAAGAGCCAAGCTATTACGGAAGTGGTACGATTTGATGGTATGCTAGATGAACAAATAATGGAAAGCAACATACAGGATGATTGTTGATTAATGTTATACAGATTGAGAACAGTGAGGATCTTGCTAGGCTCATAACATGGGAAAATGGAAAGCCATTGGCGGATGCAAAAGGAGAGACAACATATGCAGCCAACTTCTTGGAATGGTTCAGCGAAGAGGCCCCCAGAAACTATGGAGACGTTATTCCATCATCAACTCCTGGAAATAGAGTCATTACCTTGAAGGAGCCTGTTGGTGTCGTTGCACTTATCACCCCGTACGTTTATCCTGCACTTCAATGATTGCACAATGCTAATTCTGTCTAGATGGAATTTCCCAGCTGCTATGATAACGAGAAAGATCGCCCCTGCATTGGCAGCTGGTTGCACAGTTGTTGCAAAGTCTCCCGGGGAAACACCTTTCACCTCTCTCGCTCTTGCCGAACTTGCACACCGGGCTGGAATTCCCAAGGGTGTAGTAAACTTTGTCAGCTCTCTTGATAATACCCCTGCTGTTGGCGAGCTTCTCACTACTTCCCCAATCATCAAGAAAGTTTCCTTCACCGGATCTACTGGTGTGGGTAAGATTTTGATGAAGCAATCATCTTCGACATTGAAGAAGCTGTCTTTTGAGCTTGGTGGAAATGCTCCATTCATTGTATTTGATGATGCAGACCTCGATCTTGCAGTAACCGGTGCTATCGCATGCAAATTCCGTTCCTCTGGACAAACTTGCGTTTGTGCTAACAGAATTTTTGTGCAATCTGGAATCTATGACGCCTTCGCCGAGAAGTTTGCAGCAAAGGTCAAGGACTTCAAGGTTGGAGGTGGTTTCTCTGATGGAATTACACATGGACCAGTTATTCACGGCCGCGCGGTTGACAAGGTTGAAGCCCATGTTCGAGATGCAGAGAAAAAAGGAGGAAAGGTTATTCAAGGTGGACAGAAGATCCCTGAGCTTGGAGCAAACTTTTTCCAGCCCACTGTCATCACTGGCGTTACTACAGATATGGACATCGCAAACGAGGAAACTTTCGGCCCTGTAGCAGGTCTTCTTAAATTCGATACTGAAGAGGAAGTCGTACGAATTGCAAATTCTGCTGATGTCGGCTTGGCAGGATATTTCTTCACTAAAGATGTTGAGAGAGCCACTAGGATCTCGGAAGAGTTAGAACTCGGAATGGTTGGTGTCAACACTGGATTGATCAGTGATGTAGCATCGCCATTTGGTGGTGTTAAGGAGTCAGGATTTGGACGTGAAGGAAGTAAATATGGAATCGCAGAATATCAAACAATTAAGGTGGTCACATACGGAGGCATGGGCAAGCCTTTGCAAAATTAGAGAATCAAAGCAACTTGGAAAAGGAAAATACCAATGATACCACATGTTTTAACACTGACACTACTTAAGACTACGTCGAGCCCTCAATACTGATTGTGAGCCATTGTAATATGCTCCAGGTGTTTAATGTTGCTAACAGAATCAAATATTCACCTTCTCTTATCGCCACTCAATACATACCTAGGTAGTCAATCAAATTTAACACGTCAAGCGAAAGTGAATATATGTCGCGCGTATTATCACAAATACGAAAAACAGAAACTTTCATTTCAAAGAAAACAACAAAAAACTTCCAAAGGTTGAGATATAGTCCCCGTCTTCGAAATGAATGCATTAGTCGGGCTCACTTATGATATTTGGGACCCTGTGACTCACAAGACTGCATGCTACTTTGAGCTAGATATGTATGATCTTCTTTGTACTGTGGCATACAAGCCAGATTTTATAGATGAGGATGCTATCATGTCAGACAAGCAAAAGGCTCTTCCCCGGGATGCAAAGGACCAGGATTATTATTTCCGAAGTCTCGAGTTGATTCCTGGCTTTCCATTTTGGGAGTTCCAAGGTGCTTCCGCAATCAAAGACAATCCAGATACTCCTAATACATTGCCTCACAATGTGACCAAGAGGTACGTTGAACAGCACGTTGAAGCTGACTTTCGATTCACTGACTTTGAGTAGGTTCCTTGATTTTATAAAGCGTGCACCACCAGAAATCCGTACAAATATTTTTGCTCAAATACCAAGCAAGAGAGTAGCGGAAGTCGATGATATAGACTCATTTGCGCATGTCAAAAAAAGTCCCTATCTTATGCAAGATTACTCTACTCTCTACAATGAGCTACAATTTGCCCCCGTCAAGTACTCCATTCAAGTCACCAGTAAAGGAACTTTCAACGAGGATGAACGTCTTGAAATCCAAGATGCGCAGGTAGATATTCCGCCATTTAACTGGTGTTTCGAGAGATCTTTCGCGGTGCACACAGACATAACTTGCAGTAAAGACAAGGAAAAGACAATGGGCATCGTTTATATCGAGAATGACTATCCAAATTGCTTTGCTCGGTCTCATGTCGATTTCATCAAATTTGCTGCCTCTCTAGCGCATTCGGAAGGCTTCTACTTTGAAAAAGATTCAGTCGACAGCAATGCAGGCATTTGGAAGAGCGAGATCAGGAAATCAAGCCTGTTGAGGGAATTCTTAGCATGGTTTTGGAAAAAGTTTGGTGTTAACTTTACCAATGAACTGGAGGTATATCTACGTGATTCTCCCACGACAAGAAACACTTGCTAATACTTGCAAAACTCTAGGCTAGTTTCTCATGGTCAAAAGTTAACCATGCAAAATTTCGTTACCTTCAAAACATCTCTCTCGACATCCTCGTCATGGAGCCGCTCACCCACACCCGAAAATATGTCGACGGCCGTCGCGTAAAGCTTTTCCTCAAAGAATTGCACAATTTTCCCAACATCGAGTCGCTCGCCGTATTCCTACAAATAGAGGATACAGATTTGGCAGATTTGATACACAGTCCCGGTGCTTATAGGTGGGCAAATGCGTTGAGAGAAATCACTTTTGCGAAATACTTTGATGTGCAGTTTCAGATACTGAACGGGATGTTGCCGAAAGGACCGAGTTGCCATGCTGTGTATCGGAGGAGATTGAGACAGTTGTTGATGCCAGAATGCTTGTGCTATGGAACTACGGATGATGTACCGGATCATCTGGGGATTCGCGAAATGTTCGCTATGGAGGAATAGTAGCTAGTATGCGGAATGTTGGGATTTAGTCAAGAGTGCTTCTCGCGTTTGGACAGAATAAGCTAAGATATTGGGATCTATCAATTATTGAATGATCGTTTTCCAACGATATGGGTGGGTTATCACCTGCAATGGAGCGCACCACAAAAGCCCGTGGTCTATATGCAATTCACGAAACCGGTGATGTGAGTAATAAGTTAAGAAATTGTGTATATTCACAGGATAGAGTGTGGAGAGAGAGCAGATACTCTATACTTTCTTTTGGGAAAGGACAAGTCCAAGTGGATTCTTGATTGCCAGACGTAGTACACATATTGAATGAAAGGTACAAGGATATATACCTCAGATGGCATTCAGCACATGTCTCGTTGATGTGATATTCGACCCTCTTTCATTCACTAATTATGGAATAATTGAGAATACTAAGTATTCTTATGTTTTCCTGTTTAGCATCCTGTGATTCCTGTTTTGCCATTCCACTACCTCATACTTCTCATTTTTAGAAGATGAACTTACCTCTAACGATGTTTTCTTAATTGGTTCGCATCCTAAAACCCAAATCTTTGACATTGTGTAAACAATGAACAATCCCCCTTTCAAATATCAGTATCTTGAAACAATTCCTGGAGCCCCAAATCTTCAGGTAGGTCATTCGTGTTTCCCTTTAGCAAAGAATTTGGCATCAGGAGACGACGAATACAATCCTGTACTGCCAACTGACGATTATGCAAAAGAACGGGCGTATCCGTATCATTACTCTTATAATGATAATCTTCAGGATCATAATCCTTATAGAGATCCTCATTCCAATCGCTACCGGACTCTCCATCACTATCACGGCTCTCTTCATCAGCATCGCCATAGACATCAAAGATCACCTCAATAGACTTCGAAAGTTTAACGTCTTGAAAATGTTTGATCAAGCGTCTTGACCAGCCAGTTCTCATTGGATCACAGCGAGCTTCTGCAGTACCTTCCGTGTGGTGATTTCTATTGAGATACGTGATATTCCGAAGATTGGGAAACCATGAGTGGTCTCCACAGTATTTTTTCCCGCAGATATTTCCTTTGCAGCCTTTTGCGCCGCAGCGCTTTTCTGACAAACTCACAATGAATTGACGCATATTCATGTGCATATCTCCATCTTTGAGGTTGATCGTCTTGGTAGAAAATCGAAGAGTAAGGTGCTCTAATCTATGGTATTGTAGGAGGTTATAGACCGAGAAGAACTATACATGTTGTTAGCGAGTTCCAACCCTATCTGACAATTGAAGAGCTCCGAATCATTTAGACTGCAGCCCAATTATTACGAGATTTCATTTTCTAAATCCCGTTGAATAGCTGAAGTCGTCCATCCTGATGCCATTTGGAACTTTTGGGATCATTACCTTTGGATACCAATTCCAATTACACGTATTTATGTAAATACCAAAGTGGCTCCAAAACCACCTCAGAAATTGCTTTAGAAGACTATGTTTTCTCACAAGAGGAGACCACCACATGCAGCTATCGTAACCGATTTGGAACTTCTCGTGGAGCGCCAAAGAGTAGGCGAACTGGACCAATTGGCTATAAGTACCCTCTGATGGATTGCTACAAACACTCCTCTCCAGAATTCGTTGTGTGCTTCTATGATCTCTCCAGTCTTTCGTATTCTGAATTTTCCAGGCTTGTGAATCTACTCCTGTATTGGGTGCATAGATCGCTTGTGTTTCCTCTCGGAACAAAAGAGCAGTGATTGGTATTGGATATGACGTTATCGGTCCACCTCCTCCTTCATCATCGCTAACTGGATGGCCATGGACTCGCCTGGATAATGAAACTGGATCTGGAATAAAGCTACTTCCTTCGATATCGGTTTCTACGGCTGGATCAATCGACGGTTCCTCAATGATATGTGAAAAGACTGTTGTAACAATCTCTGGAAACATCTTTCTGAGTCTATAGAGGAAGCTTCTCACTGTCAGCTGAAATCTCAACTGAACTTAAAGCAGCTCACAATGCAGGTAGATGATTGTCCTGTTCGAATCTTCCATTTGGTAAAGGATATCTTAGGATGTTTAGATGATAGGCCCGGTATGGGAAATGGGGGATTAATTCTCGACCGTAAAAGAGATAATCTTCATGGGCTCTGTTGTAAAGTGGGTCAGAAACGTCGGATTCTGATTCTGCCATGGTAGCGTCTGTGAAGGGTGCTGATGGTTGGTAGATTTTCTATTGTTTACTGAATGTTTGTTTCAAGCGGTTCGAGATTTCTGTTGCCGGATCGAAATTTAATTATGACTGTCAAGGAGAACAATAAAAAGTGCATCATCAGAGGTCAGAATTGTAAGAATTAGTATTCACGAACTGTACTAACAATTGCATTGCTGAATAAAGCAGATTCGTCACTGCTATTTCGGGTCGATTCAATGCTTGAACTCCCATGTCTCCGAAAACCTCGAACAAGAAACAACTACCACGATACAGAATCAGGAAGTCGAGATCAGAGGGCACTGAAACCCAGAGTGGGGAAGCAGTCTGATATTATTTTATACTAATATAGAACCCTCAAAATTCTGGTTCTTCGTAGCAAGACTAAATACTCATCATCAACAACGGGATTCAACCAAGGGCGATTAAGCGAATTCATTGCAGGGGCGAATGCCGATTTTTCGGTGAGTATATTTTTAGTCTAACGATCTCCATTACAATTTTTAATGTATCACGAGACGAGATCCTTCTGAATTAGAAGTTTTACAATCGAGTGATCACATTACCTCATAATACAAAAAACAATCCTTGGTTTGATTGCTCAATGTAGGAAGGAGTCAAAGATATTGACTGTAATGGTCGCTTACTCGAACTTATGAGCATGACTAGAAGATATATATACCTTTGCTGAAAATCCTAGCATTTAAAAGAGATAAAACTGCTCGTCACTGTAATATCTCGACAGAAATTGGCACCAGCAAGTTGATAAGTCTAATAATTAAAAATTCCAAAATAACATAGACGCCTAACTCCACTCGTGTTTACCTTCAACGAGCTCCTCGCCTTTTCTTCTTAGGAGCGGAGAGATAGTTGTAAATGATAGCACCTATTGTCTCCTTCTATCATTATTTGTTTGCCTCATCGGACTTTCCTCCCTGAGATATTTCCTAGCATTCGCCCTGGGCTGCGTCATGTGCCTCCTTTGCTCTCTTTTGATGTTATCATTAAAGGTTGTCGTATATTTCACCATTCTGTTGTCGTTACTCGGTAGGTTCTTCTTCTCTCTATCATGAGCATCTCTCTTACTTTCTTTATATGTTTCCTTTTTTTCCGTTTTTACATTGCTTTTTCGACCTCCATCGGAGCTAATAGAGGATAGGATCCTTTCCACAGTTTTGGCAGTGATTGGTTTATCATTACCCGCTTTCTTTCCGTCGTTAGGCTCCTGTTTTCCCCTCTTGTGTGTGCTATTTGATGTGCTTAAGTTCTCTGAAGATGAGGAGCTAGCGGAATAAGCATCTTTGATTTCTTTTTGCCAATCTCTCCCGCGAAACTTCATGTCTTCGGCACTTTCGATAGCGGCTATGAAATATAGAGCCTTGTCCAATGGCTAAAACGTATGCGTAGTTAGTAGAGTTTTACTATCGTGGAAGTAGTATAAGTAAGATCTTACAGGTTTGTTCACTATAAATGGTCTTTGCTTCATCATTACTACAGCTGTGACCCATAAATCTGCGCTATCATTTTCATATGACCCTAAATATTTTCCCTTCCTCTTGTATAGATCGTGTGGTTTAAATGTTGCGATTTCCTTATTCTTCTGGAAAGCAAATAGGCATGTGCACTCATTGTTACTATTAACTGTGGTGATAACGAAAGGGTGCCCTGGTAGATTATACCACCAAATTTGTGTTTCCATGACTAGATACTGCGCCGATGATTTGACAATGATATGGATGAGGTCGTTATTGTAAATATTGCTTCGAAACTATGACGAATATATGGAATATTGCATGAAATATGTAATGCCAAACTACACCAGAAACCTTGTAGGCTTTATAGAATATCGAGTCAAAGTTAGAACTCGAAGGCAGCAAAATACTACCAACAGGCCTGAATGCTCCACCTTCCAGCACCAACCAAATAACAGGCAGTGATTGAAAGAAAGGCCCGAGGAAAATTATATACCACTGTAGCCCACTATAGGCACCACTCAAACAAAATAAACAATTTGAACGTAACTCTTCTTGGGTTTTCCTGGTGAGCTCTCCTGAGCTATCAGGAGTTGGTTGGTATTGTATAGTAACCGTCCTCGCAGGAGATCCTCATCAGACTTCGAGTTGACCGTTTCGAGTACATCAAAGCATTAAAAATTAATACTAAAGCCAATATCTGCCCTTATCACTCGAAAATCAAATCTTATGGGCAAATCATGAATTGTTTAATTGTATCTTTTGTGATTTATAAATTATTTGAAAAGACCTTCTCAAATTTACATAGACATCCAGCTCCGGGGTGTGATATACCCCGCTTTCGTCTATAGGGCCTATAAACCCCAAACAGCCGAAACTCAACAAACCTAGTTTATGAAACAAAACAGGCACAACACATAGAAAAATTTCATCATTCTTTGGAGGAGTGATTATGATTCTATATCAATTTGCAACAATCTAACTACTTTACATCTAAATTTCAAGTGGTCTGCGTGGTGCGCCCAAGAAGGTCTGTAAACTTTTCCTTGTTTAATAACATGCACTCATACATAGCTTCTGAGGTTTCAGATACTGGGGTAAATAGGTAGTTCTAGTGGAACAGAACTGGATGTTATCTTGAAAACTTTCTTGTAAAACTATCGTGTTTTGTGGCTAGCTGGTAGTGAATGGTTGTTTGGTAATAAAAATGAAATGAACTAAATAAAAGAATAGACTTAATGTAGCTTATCACAACAGGTAAATAGCGGGCCAAGAAGTTTTGGCCGGCTAGAAGGTTGGTGGTTATCCCAAAGGACTTTGAATCAAGGCAACAGACCTGGCGAAGAGGGCTGATAAGCGACAGTATCTCAGCCAGGTAACTATTTTCTTATGAAAGACGCCATGTAATTCAGTTCCTCTGGGATAATGACATGTCCTAAACCTTCGTAGAGCTTCCACTCAACATTATATCCCACACTCTCCAATACTCTTCTCATATCTTCACCCCACTCCAATTTGACTTTCGTGTCATTTGTACCATGAGCTAAGAGAATCCTCATGTCTCCTTCCGCAGATACCGTCATATCATCTCGGGGTCGCAAAGATGGGAGACTCAACTCGCGTCTCAACCAACTCTGAACAAGAATCCTCCTTTGTCTCCAACCTTTTCCAGCAGCAGCAACTTCAGTAATTTGTTTCGCAAATGGCAACCATCCACTGAACCCTACAAATCCTCCAATCTTCTGCAACACCTCCAATCGATCCAATTCCCCACTCAGTAACAAAATCACGCTCATAGCACATCCCTGACTGAGCCCTCCTACAAAGATTTTGCGATCTTCGTAGTGAGATTCATTGTCCACTACATCCTTAATGAGCTCGCCCAAATACTCCACGCTTTCTCTTAGCCCCTCCTTCTGCTGTTCTTCCCTCATCGTCCGGTCTGAAAAATTGGCAATATCAAACCAAGCGTTGGTCAAATTCCCACCAAAAACAGTAGTCTTTCGCAGGATTCCCGATGGAAAAGTGAGTTTAGTGTATGGAAGTAATACATCAGAGTGAACCAGCGCCATGAGCTCTTGGGCAAACGGGACTCCCCAAGATGATGTACCATGAAGTAGAACAAGGGTATTCTTATTCGGCTTCGGGGATTCGACAATGAATGGCGTTGGCCGAATTTCCGTTGGTACAGTGGGAGGTGATGGCATTTTGTGTGCGTCAGCCATCAAATTGAGCACTTGCTGTTCGAATTGAAACGGATAGTACAACAAGATACTTGATAGGCCCAACAGAAATGTAAGTAGGAATATGTCTTTTATCATACCCATAGTAGATAAGTTGCGAATTATCTATAGTGGTTGTGGCTAGAGGTGGGGTCTTTCGCACAGCATTGCACCTTCTTCGATTGGTTACACGACTTCACGTGCATTTGATGCTCACAAGCACGCGGCTTCAGTTAGTCGTGGCATGCCCAAATCGGTATTCAATCTTTCATAAATGAACGAAAAATCATTAGCATATTATTTCGAGATCAGATCGACTGTCAGTTGTCAATTCAGCAAGTTAAAATCTACTATTGCAATTTTGTTGATTCCAGATTGTTAACTTATTTTTGAAAGTTGATCTATACTTGGTGTATTGTGAAATGTAAACTACGACTGAGAGAAGCGACTTGAAAATGTTCACGGAGACTATCAGTGTTTACATAGCCATGAATTATCTTTGCCATTCAGTCTCAAGCTAGACGACTCAGTTGCGAATTGTTGTTCCATTTGAACGAAGGCCAGAGAGGACCTTCATCATAACAAAAATTGAATTTGACAGAGGAAGTAAGGCCTATGCTGAAGAGTTGACGTATATCTTTACCTCCACTTCATTACTCCATCCACCTGAAAGCTCAAGTTCCTTCCACGCCGCCAATGTGTCGATTTCAAGAACGTGGGGATCAGTCTTGCTAATACTGACTGTGTGAAGTGGTACAACCTTACCAAGGATGGTGACCAATAGCGCGTCTTCGTATGATACATCAGGAAGAGTCGAGATATAGATTCCTGGAGATCAAATTAGAATCTGGGTTTTATTTTTTTTCTGGAAAAGGAAAAGATAATGGGTTGAACTTACCAAGAGTTCCCAGAGCCTTGATATTTGTGTCAATCAAAATTTTGCCATTCTCTGATTTCGTCATTTTGGTGCCGACAATCGCTGCAGCTCCGGCCATTTTACCAAGGAGACCTAAGTTGGCTATCCATGTAGTATTATCATTTTTTTGATCAACAAATCCGCGCAAAGGATAGGCTGATAAGATATCGTATCCTCTAACATCGAGAGAAACGTATATCAAAGCCTGAGGGTCCACAACTTGCATAGGCTGGGAGATAGCTCCACTGGAATGGGCACGGATGATATAAAACTGTGCCTCTTCAACACCAGGAAACTTTGACAATGGCACCAATTCACTAAGTGGTCTCTGAGATACATTGAAGAAGCCAATTATACCAGTCCCTGTGTACGCAGCGCCATGGTATGTTCCGATTGGGAGGAGTTGATCATCGTCGTACCCATTATATTGATCTAGACTCTTACCAACGACACTAGGTCTAAAAATGATAGTTTTGCCTCGAGGAGTAGGGCCAGTCATTTGGTTGATAAGATCGAGATCGTGTTGACCTGGCACATCTGTAATGTATATTGGACCACCGCTAACACATCTAGCAGCTGCATGGAAGCCAGAATAGTCGTGAACGGTCTGAAACATGTCCCAATCTGGGATGAGGTTGAGATGCTGGGTGAACAAAGCATTGTGGGCATTGGTGAAAACATGCCATGGGTGACTGGTTGGAATTTCGGGGAAAAAGTCATCAGAGTTCCGTACGAGAATTGGAGGTCTGTTCTGGGGTAATTGAGAATGAAAGAGAATTTGCGGAATTTGTGACATGCAAGAGATCGCTTTGACACTGAAGTGTCGGAGAGTTGAAAGGGTCCACGCATCTTGATATGCGGATATAAGATCACTACGATCTTCGGCAGACTCGAAGAGATCAAGCATAAATTGAGCACTGATTCATGTTAGCAAGAAATGAATAAGTTTTGGCCCACTTACTCAGTCTTGACCGCATCAACTCCACAAGATGAAAGAAACGAATAAAAGTCGTCGTAGAACTGCCGGACATCTTCTTTGGCTACCACAGTCATTTTACCACCCAAAGGTAAGTTTCGTCTCTCGGAATCTCGGCGAATGACTTCGACTGTCTTGTAAGTCTCAGCGATTTTGCCATCCGCGGCAAGACCACCCCAATAGCCCAGAATTGCGTGCCATACAGCAACGTGCTGAATACTAGGCTGTTTCTGTCGGATGAGTGATATGGTGTGTTTCAAGCCATTTGGAAATGCTTCTCTTTCTGCCTCAAACTCAATCCAACCGTGTTGGAATTGACCATGTCCTTTATAGTCAATGGCCTGCCAATTATCGTCAATGATAAAGTTTGTGACGTTGATTTTATTCTCTGCTAGAATATCGACTGCTTTGAGTATCTTTTCTTCGGTTAGTCGTTGCCCAAGCGCATTCCATGTGCCTGTATAGTTGGTCAGTAAATTATTCAAATTATGTCAGGAGAGTCAGTGAGTATACAATAAGTCAAGCCATCACACCAGTTTTCAACCCAAACCTTTGTTTTCTCGTCCCCTTCTTCGAGCGCTTCGATCTCCTTTTGAGTTTGTCCAGACTCACTCTCGAGAGCCGCAACGACATCTCTAGCATGATACATGACTGCCGCGTTGGCCGACTCAAAGTCGTCTCCGAGCCCAACAAGGACATGAGCAACAGACTCCTTGGGATTATCATTTCGAACCTGTCTGAATTAGAATCGTAATAGTCAAGTCTTGAAGAATTCTAACATACTTCCAAGACAACATTGCCATCACTGTCACTTTTGAACAAAGTCATGACGTTATTTATACCGCTTATAGCTAGTAAAACAATATGCTTGCCATCCGAGCTCAAAAAGGAACAAGTTACGGCCTCTTTATCAAGCTCAAAAGGACTTTTTCCCTGTCGGGGGGCTAGCCAGGGTGTCCAAATTCGAATCAAAGCAAACCATCTAGCTGTATTAGCAAAAGGGGTTAACATTAGGTGATGACGAAGGGTCAGACCAACCTCGCCAATTTATCTTGGCCCCAAGGGAGCCCAAATTTAATGTCCTTTACAGTAGAATCTTTTCCAACAGCTCCTTCAATTGGAACCTGCACTGACCATAGAGTAGTACCTGGGGATTGACTTCGATAGTTCTTGACCTCTAGCGACGTATTCAAATCCTGAACATAATTGGATAAATTACTTGAAATGTTTTCCTGGGAAGTGATCGTTTTCAAGACAATTCTCCCGTCTGGCGTTCCCTGGTGGTCTTTTACGAGCTTCCAAGATTGGCTCGAGTTGCTTCGGAATTTGACCGTGAAATTCGTTGGGAGACGAGCGGGTAAAGAGGCTTTGAAGTATAGTTGATGCAGTCCCAAAGGTGCCACTGTTTGCAAAACCTTTGGTTGAGAATCTGTCTTATCTAAAGACTCCATAAGAGATTCCTCCCATTGCTCTCCATTGATGCTATGCAGGAGTGAAACTTCCCATGATTCTGTGGCACGACTTTCATCAACCTCTAGTAAAGCTGTAACGACTTTGGTATGATCGGGAACAATCGTCAGTTGGCCCAACGGAGGATAAGTTGAGATGTACGCCTTCAAACTCGGATGGTCTGAAGTGGGAGGGCCTTTTTGTTTTGGAATATACTTCGCTTGAAAGACTTCATTGCCATCTGCTCCACTGATGAATGTCTGAGCTTCGGCCATTTTTACTCAAAGGGTGGAATCAATATGATGTATTGTGTAGTAAATTTGAGTTGAAGGAAGAAGCATATAGGATTGTTATAGAAGATTTAAGAGTCTCAAGAGAAAGGAGGCAAACAAGTTAGACAGATGGAGAAGGAGTGAAGTGTGAAGTGTGAAGTGTGAAGTGTCAATGAATCGATTCTAATTTGTGGTACAGAGTTCCTTCTCAAACCCGTGACTATCTGTGTGAATCTGTTCTTTTTCTTCCGCACAATGTGGTTGGATGGATGAATGGTCTCAGGATATGCCATTCCAACTTGCAGTGTACGAATCTACTAGCTGCTGATGGATCATGGAGGTTGTTCTTCCGTGCCTCTGAATGTGGACACTAGAGAGCACGTGGAGATAAACACAGGCGCAGATGGAGGACCCCTGACTAGCGGCGGGTTGATCAATTTCTTGGCGGCCGGATAAACGTATACCGGATCGCCGTAAAATTATTTTGGCCCGCAAGAATTGCAAATGGGCGTTGAAGCAGAATATTTGTCGTAGAAGCCCTCGGTCGCGAGGCCTTTCTGTTTTCTCCGAGATTCTTCATGTGTTCGTGAAATACTTCTATCTTTTAGTCACACAAGATGGCAACCACTTCTCTCCTTCGATATTCGGCTCGGCCTGACCCTTATGTTTGCGCAAGATGCGCTTTCAGAGCCTCTCGAAATTCAAATAAAGCGTCGAGAAGATGGATTGGAATGAAATATCTAGCGAAAGCGGCAGATGCGCAAGTGGCGTGGGCCAAGAATGCTGCGGAAATCAAGACAGGGAAGAAGAAGAGCATGCTTTCAATTCTGGAGGAGCGAGGATATGTACATCAGATAACTGGGTAGGTACCCCTCCTTGGCTTCTTCGATGCGAGACGTTAACTTTTGCTTTAGTTCGAGAGACGAACTTGATCGTGCTATGACGGAAAACCGGCTTGGTGCGTATGTGGGTGTAGATCCTACGGCGCCTTCACTTCATGTTGGCCATTTACTACCTTTCATGTCCCTGTTCTGGATGTACATACATGGTTACCACACGGTTTCGTTGGTTGGAGGAGCTACTGCAAAAATCGGCGACCCGACTGATCGTTTGACGACACGAGAGAAAATGAAGAGTACAACGAGGAATGAAAATATATTGAAGATGCATTATCAATTGAAAGGCATATGGTTGAACGTCGAGGCATATGGAAGAAAATATGGATATCAGTGGGAATGGGCATGGAGAAGAGGGCTGGTGAATAACCATCACTGGATGAATAAATTGACAGTGATGGAGCTTCTCCAAATTCTTGGCCCAGGCATGAGAATAGGTGCGATGATTGCCAAGGATACGTAAGTACATTCCCTTT